ATATATGTCAACGGCAGTATTAAGGTTTGGACTTTACTAATTTCATTTGAAGATAAACGCACTCACATGTACTTTCACACCCAACCATGAAAGCCTCTGAATTTCCATGTCTGAACCAATGCATGTAGAAACTGGTTGCATCCACTTGATGCGTGGCGAGATTATGGCGGAAAGAACGTCACGCTATCAATTCCTTTTCGTCATTAGAGCCGCATCTTTTTTGGCGAGCGTTCCAGCGCGGTGTGCAGTCTTGTATGGTCCTTCCAGCCCTGAAGTGTAGCTGTTGATTTCTTTACACACTTCTTCATCGATAAACTTTCTCACGCTTCCAACTCTGGTAGTCAAAGTGTGTCTGGAGGTGTTACTAAAAACAGTATCGGCAAATTTGGGTGTTAAAGCAACTTTAGGCTACCTATTCTTTTAACGGGATCATTTGAGCTCTAACTGGATCGTAATGAATGGTGGATGTGTTATTGGGGGCTGTCAGCTGTTATTTCAGAGGCGCCCGGAGCTTTGTTCATGCGCTTGACTTTTTCGGCTGCATAACTTTCTTCTAAGTGAGAAGTTCGTCAAACATGACGAGTCCTAGCCAAGTGCTGCCTGTGTCCTCAGCGCATCCTCGATTCATCAAGCTCAACATCAGGGGATACTTCATAATTTCAACTTAAAGAGAACATGCACGTTTTGTTCCGGAAACCTTGTGAAGAAAAACCAAATGGAAAGTTAAATGATACTGCCTTGACAATTTTTGTAGGAGGTAGATTTTTTCCTGCAAATGAAGGCACCCCTTACTGCGCAGCTGACGCACACAAGTATTTGGCCAGGGAAGTACAAATCAAAGTCGTTTGTAATTCCATCGGTGCTCGCAAAGTCTGTTTCAGATAGTGTACTTCATTTTATCACTTCACTAAAGAGCCTATACGAAATCCCTCTGTATCAGACAGATCGTATGTTCATACCACAGGCATTGAAACATATCGAAGCATGCCCATCACATGATTCAGGTCACTGTGACTTCGCATGTTGCCTTTGCTATGCACCTTACTATTTACTGTCACGCAGCCAGTTCTTTGTTTGCACGTTTTTCGTAGGGTTGATCGTAGGTTTCCATATACCTTCTGTCAGCCTAGCTATCAACCGGAAGCGCGTTAAAATCGGTGTTGTGCAATAGAGGAAAACTGTCCCAAGACGTTCTTCATCACCATATTGCACTTTTACACAGTATTAAAGTGAATCTCTATTTCAGCTTTCATCACGACCACTGAATTTCAGGGGTACAGGACTTTATTTACTAGTTACTTTACTTGCCGCTGTAAACTATGAATTACTGTTGCCTTAATCGTAATCTGTAAACTACTTTACAAGTGACCTTTATGTGGCTTGGCCTTCTTCTAACTTAATAAAATAAGGAAATGAGCATAGCTGACATGCCGCCAGAAGGGAGCAAGATGACTGAGATACATCCGGCTTGCACAAACCTACACAGAATCGGTTTTAAATGCCCCAGTTGGGTTCGCGCTTTAACTTATGAGATATTTCAAGCTCTTGAGAGCTTCAATAATTGTTGGATGACAAAAGTATGCACCCTCTCATATTTGGATTCTAATATTTTTGGTGAAGTCCAGGGAAAGCATTCACGTGCCTAGTTGTCACAGAAACACTTCTGTCTTTTCAGAAAACCCGGGTTCAAAAACGTCTACATTCCTGTTTTTCAAAAAAGTCATCTACAAGCGTTAACACAAGGCAGTATTCAGTGGAGAATAATCAAACTCCGGCGCAATTACATTGAACGCACAATAAAGGTGCCCTACTGTTTGTTTGTCATGCGAATGTCTTGGTTCACACAACCAACCCTAACAAGTTAAAGGGATCTTTATCTAAACATTTCAGCCTCCATTCTATCGGTCAGCTGATGGTCTATTTAGGTCGTTCAATACAATGACCTTTTCAGCTTTCCTCATTACTCTCGGTATCCAAGCTGGTTACGTTTTCGTAACTGATCGATTTTCATTCGATGGGGAAGAGGAAGAACTGAATGCACCAGTAGCATCTGGTGGTCGCTGTCAGTGTTTCAGAGATCAATAATCTAGCCAACTTCAGCACAACATCTTTGAAACCGCAATGAAAGTTGATCAATAATCAATGAGGAGAGTTGGGGAGCAATTAGCACCAGCTTGTAGGATGGTGTATTTTACATACAGCATCTTAGGCTCTTGGTGGTCTCAAAATACTCAAATTCATCAGATATAAGAAGTCGAAATGAAGCTATGTTATCTATAACTTAATTCATAAAGACTTTTTTAAGGAAGTTCAACCGGGAGCAGCCGCACAATGCAACCTGACTCCATTAATGAACTAAAATCTGCTTCAAGATTCAGTGTTCAGATTTTCAGTACTCAGTTGGCTGTATGAACTCCGAAAATCTGAGACGCTCGATGCACAGACCGACGGAATGCCTCGAAAATAGGCTTTCCTAAAACGTTCAACATCATCTATTGATCTCGAATACAGTTTTGAAGAGCGCTATCATGCTTCAACCCACAGTAACCCAATCCGCACTGAACAATGCTGGATCAATAACTGTGAATACTCAGGACAGGAGGCGGTGTGCAAAGTGATGTGCACACAAATTTTATCGCACCAAAGCACGTTTGTTAAAGAATATGTAGGTTATTCAAGATAGAGAAAAATGACAAAAATTTGCCGACGCGAATAATCGGTTTCAAAGAATGGCAAGTATCTTTGAAGCGCTCGCATAGATGAAGACTGAGTCATTTATCTAAATAACGCTAAAGAGGCAAGGATTACTTTATGACCAGAACCGAGTTGGTTAGCAAGGAGTTCTGAAGTAAAGGTATGTCAGATATATCGTGAACAATGTTTATCCAGGTAGACAACATATGCTGGTAGGCAAGTATTTTTGAAGCGCTCGCATAGATGAAGACTGAGTCATTTATCTAAATAACGCTAAAGAGGCAAGGATTACTTTATGACCAGAACCGAGTTGGTTAGCAAGGAGTTCTGAAGTAAAGGTATGTCAGATATATCGTGAACAATGTTTATCCAGGTAGACAACACAGTCTATACTGGTACCGAAATTACAAGGAACGAGGGCGGATTAACAAGCTAATGTTTTTGCGGGATTAGTTGGAACAGTTTAGGTGTTCTAGTTCTTCAAACTGTCTCGCCAATTATACATATCAGGAACAACGTCAGTATGGATACGAGAAAGAAATCCCCAAACACTCGTTTTATTTTCAGTTTGCCTTGGCTGCATGTAAACATACGCACACATTGCTATTCATTTGTACAGTAAACCAAGTTTCCTAATCAAGTGTGTTTTACGCAAACACGAGAGCCGGTGAGCGATATGTGCTCCATAGCTGTGTGCTAAAACACGGCGAACGCGTACAATATTCGCGCGCGCGAAGGTCATAGCTTGAAAAAGTTCCAAAGCTCTCCCACATCTCGCCTCATGCAATCACCGTTTTGCGACATAAGTTTGTCCAGTGTAGTTACCACAAAGCTCGACAATTGTAAAGAGGGAAGGGAGAAAAGTATGAATTAAGACCTTCCGAAGTTCCAACTACATCATACTGATTCACTAAGCTGATCGATCGATTTCGTCCCACTTGTTTTTATAACGTGAATGAACTGAATGTGGGGTGATCGGATGGCAGCTTCGTTGAAACTAGTTTCCAGGTCATGTTCTTGATACTAAATGGCTGCAGAGATTAATCCTCTTGTTTGTCGGGGGATTTCGTAGGATTTGGCTTCCATCAAGCAAATTGTTACTGTCTGGATACAGTTCTGGATATGGCTGTTGAGGGACCGCTGTCGACTGTGACGGTTGCAGTCCTTCGGTATTTAGCTAGTTCCTCGATTCGTTAACCTTTTTAGTTGAATCATGATTGATCATGGTAAACCGGGTACGTATTACAAGCCTCGATAAAGTACAAAGGATAAGGCGCGAGTTTACCCACAGGAGGGTCCGTGGTCGGAGCCCAAGCGACTGCTCCTGTCTAGACTTGGATAACCTTGAACCTCGTGCTTCCTTCTAGTAACAAGGTTGCTATGCGCCAAAAGGGTGTTGAAGTGGAATTATTGATTATTGACCCGATTACATGGTTAGACAAATGCTTATGGCAATCGGGTACCCCATGGAGCATCATGCATTTAATCAGCGAAAATCGGCGAGTTGACTTTGTTTCCGAAAACTTCCCATGTGTTGTTTGTCCCAGCGCTTTCATTCATTCACTATTGTAGATTCTATTCTGATCTTAGTAACCTGAAAGAGGTCACCAAGTGAAAAGAAGTTGGCTACCGTTCACTTCCAAGCAGCACGACCAACGTGACCTTCTTGGAACGTCAGGCGATCTCTGCATGAGACTTCTCTCAGTGTTTCTCGTCAGCACAGCCTAAGTTGCTGTCCCACTTAAATGAGTCCCAAGCTGAGGCCAAGCACATCGTTAATGCTTGATCTTCTCTGTCGAATCGAAACTGCCCTCAGCAGGTTGCACGTAACACCATTGGGGACGACCAGACATCTTTTTGCCCACGCACCATTGCTAATCAGCTAGTCAAACTCCGTTGGCAGTCTACCATACCATAAGTCATTTTCATCTCGTTGGGGTTCACAGGTAAACAAGAAATAGGGAGAATATTTCCTGAACTTGTTCTAGGGAGCACAGTCCCACTTCATCAATTAAGGTTATGCTATAAATAGGAAGAGACGAGACTCAAAGGGCACATGTGTCTAAGCCGATGATAAAGCACTGATCTCAGCACCTTCACCAAGATTTCGGCAACATGATTGTAAAAGAATAAGTCAATTTGCTAATATACACTCACTTGCAAACTAATTTGGTTTTTCGAGGGACTCACCTGGAACCCAGCTGACTCTCTCGTTTGTGATGTTCTCAGGCAAATGAGTGTATATTCGCTAATTTCGTGCAATTTGGTTTCAGGTAGAACATAAGTTTGACGGAAACCCGGGGATTGCGCCTACCTGGAGAGATCCAAAAAGGGCGAAACCGGTCGTGGGCTGTCGACGGATTTTCAGCAACCTTATGAGAAGTATAAGTCAATTTGCTGTTTTGATCAAATACAGTCTAGATTGAACTGACTAAGCTATACACTCTCGTTTTAATCGTTATGTATGATTTCAGGACGGTGAAAGCTGCTTACCGTTATTTGTATCCACCGCCCCAAATAGGTCGGTGTGTGGAATCGAATCGCCTCCGTCTGAAAAGGAACCCGATAAGACGAAACCTTCGAGTATGGACAGAGTTCAGCTGACAGTTACGAAAGTCGGGATATAAAGTAAGACCAAGCATACTCGAAAGAGGAAGTTTCATATGCTACCATCTTCCTTAGAATAGCCAACTTGGCATGCGGAAGTAACAAGGCTGGGCGAAATTTTTCACCTAACTTAACGCGTCAGTTTAGCACTTCAACTCAGGGGTGGTTGATAAACTTTCGCAACTAACCTACAGTCTACTATTGTTGAAATCACAAAGTATGGGGACACCTGGAGTGAGTCGAAAACGGTGGGTTGAGATAGAGTCCATTAGATTAGCATACACGCAGTTATCGGATTAGACCGAAGCCAGTAAGTACCTTACTAGGTTACTTTCCAGAGGAAAGAATCAGTGCCACTGAAGCCGGTTTGTTTTAAAGAGTAGAAGATATTCGTAGGCCTGTAAATCCAGGACTTCACTGTGGCAACCGTTCGGCTGTAGCACTCTTCCGGTGCCTAGCGGCCATGCCACCCGAAGGAAGCACGAGGGCTGGGGAACTGCCAGGTTACCCAAGCCTAGACAGGGGAAGTCGAGAGGCGGATGTGGGATTCGAACCACGGAACTTCCGGTCAGTAAATTTGCGCTCTTACCACTTGGGCGGTCTCTCACTGTGGCAAGCAAAATCCTAACCAGTGGCTGTGCATACCGATGGCACTGCGACAGTGGGAAGCAATTCTGAGCTGGGTCGAGGTAACGTCCGTCTGGGGCAAATGGTGCATTCCTCTAAAAACTGGGCTTAGGCTGATGGATTGGGATCGCCAGGTGAAAGGTATGATTAGAAGGTGTTTTTGTAAAACGAGGAAGACGGGGCGAAATGCTAGACACTAAAAAACAGTTAGTTGAGGTGGGATGTGAACAGAATCCCCTTGTTTTGGGTTGCGTTGCTGGTGTGCCGCAGTTCAACCGGGAATCATTCCTTTGAATTTGCTGATGGCGGAACCATTTAGGCAACACTAGTCTGTACGACTTATTTCCTGTCAAGTCACTTGACAAACTAGTTGAAGACCACTTTTGAAGTTTCATGATGGAAAGTCAGAAATTATTTTTGCTCCTTAAAAACAACTGGACCGTGCGTAAACACCCGAGATTCTGAAAGTATTGTAAGATAAAAACAGGCTAAATTTTAGGAGAAGCTCAGCTCCTTTAAGAAAACGTACTTTATTCTCCTTCTATCGGAGATTTTAGTTGTACTTTAGAGGAGAAGTTTGTCTTTTATTATTTTGGCCCGATTCTTCTAAATTCCACAGACTGGGGAGAGAGGTTTTGCTTGGTGCATCTTTTTTTCACTTGTTTAGGGTTTTCTCAGTGTGAACAACAGTGGTAAGGATACGAGAGCAAAAGAACAAAAGACCTCGCCAATATATAAAATTGAACTGACCATTGAGACTTTCATATTGACTGGGCCTGATTAGGGCGTGTTCACAGGGTACAGAGCAAAACAAGGCAGTGTAAAATTAGGAACTACTATAGTAGGGGTGTATGCAAAGGAATGCTTTCCACGTTATATGATGGTTTCCTGATTGTTAGAGGTATCAAATGTGAGGTCCTAAGGAGACCACATGCTGGTAGAATGCTATGAGAGAACGTGCGACATTTAACTGAAAAATTGAATGACTCCAAGTTATATAACTTTAAACTACTTTAACAATCAGCCTTACAATGTGTCGGAATGCGGAAACCACTGGCGAAGTTCGACTGAGGTAACTGACACTAGATACATACAGTTCCCTCAATATCCTGTCCGCTACATGTAACATTTCCCCGTTTAAAGAAAGTAAGATTTGTGCTTAAGTTCATACAAAATAACGCCCTTCAGAATCTATCTGTTGAACTAAGTAGTATACACACTACGCGAGTGGTTCATCCTCCGGATTAATCCGAATGTACTGGCTGTAAACCATTCTGAATAGACAATGAACATGCTCCATAGTTAGGTGATCCTGCATGAAGAACTTAACAGCATTTGAGTTTGCTGTTTTAAAATACAGGGAGAGAAGATCATGAATGGGACTGTTTAGATAGCTCTTTCGCTTGCCAAGTAGGAACTCACGTGTATAACGGACGGGGTTTCGTTAGATCACAACTCCAAGTGGAGTTTTCAGTATTACCCTTCTTGTGGTCATTGTTATCTTTCCTTTCTAAGCATATCCAAACCTGATCATAGTGATATCGCGCATGCCAACGACCATGTTGCCACTGTGAATGGCGCATGCCGACGCAATGTGACTTGGAATATCCACGTACGTGATTGCATTCTGAACGAAAGTATGCTAAGAATCCTGTTAGTGAAAAGGATCACTGCTTATCAGATGTTTCAGCTGGCGCACTTACACAAATACGAAGGATACGTTTGTTTCAGACCATTCATTATTTGTTCACTGAAGCGCTGCACTATATTGGTTCCTAAAACCAGGCGTTATTGGCCACGATTGTTTAGTTTGCGGCCAATAGATCACGTGGGATCTACAACTGCGAAGTGCAGTACTCGTCATGAGGTCGGGAAGCTGCGCTGGCTCAGATGGCGGAGAACACACAAGGCAAAAGTAAAGAAGGAAAGGGTTCGCGAGGTAGCTTGGAATGGGTCAATACAGCAACCATTTTGATCAAGTTCAATTGTAACACGATGCTTTGATTAACCACATACAGTTGCAGCAATCTTGAAAATTTCACGAGATTTGAGGGCATCGGAAAGAAGGTGAACTTCACTGATAACCCCTATTTGATTTTCTAATTGTATCATTTCTACTTTCCATCCAATTTCATTCATTTAAGTGACCGTCGTCCGAGTGGCTTGAGTACGAAGAAACAGACAGAAACAGAGCTGACAAAACAGGGATATTACTTCTAAAATTACCTCTTCATGTAACGGTGATACTGCTGATGGGGAAGGCATGTGAGTAGTATGTTTTCTTGTAAATCCGCTTTGCGTATCTTGAAAAGTTAGATCCATTGCAAAATTTGTGGAGTCGCTTTGTGGCATTTGCTTGGATTTGAGCAACAGTCAATAAATATCCAGGAAAGTTCAGGAAGACGCGTTCAAGAGAAGATGGATGTTTAGTTTTTGTAAATAAGATGCAAATGAGAGTTTTGCTTTCTTGTCCAATAGTCTGTAGCTGTTCAGTTGGCATTTTCTAATGACTCCGTAACGAAGGCCTTCTTCCTTTCACTAGTAATAGCAGTGATGAGATTATGAATCCACCGGTAGAAAAGAATTTTCAGTGCTTGAAAGAGAACACACCACTTTTTAATGCAATACCATGCAGGACTGTTCTTAAATGCTCCTGTATAGCATCGAAGCAAACGCGCTGGCTAGAAGCACTGAGGCATTCTTAATTCTATCACACTATGCGTTGGTGAGATAAATCACGGTGGTGAGAAACACCGGAGTACCTCGTAATGGGGAGCGTTCGTTGCTGAAAAGAATCCACAAAAGCGTCCTCAGTCCAACGGCCTGATTAGCACGATTTGCTTGGAATATGTAAGTTATCTGAGTGGCAAATTCCTTTTCACATAACGCACTATTCCTAGGGTTTGTCAAAACTCTTCTACAGCTCGCTACCGGTTTCGACCTTCTTGGATTTCAGTACTCAAGTGCAGCTCTCTGATTTACATGAACTATGTTTCAACTAAATCCTATATTGTACCCAAATGAAGAGATACACTTATTTGCGAAACGAGAGACTCAACTTAATCCCCTGTTTATGGTATTCTTCCACGAAGGAAGATCGCCTCGTGTTTCGATTAGCGCGATACCCGAGGAGTCGAAATAAATCATAAAAGAGGGATTCAGTTGAGTTTCTAACTGACAACAATTTACAAATGTTGGTGGAGAATTTGTCCTGCTAAAAACCCGAGAAGCACTGAACAGCTCTTTCGTCCTTATGGAAATAATCAGCAGTGAGCAGCCCCAGAAACTCCAGAGACTCTCGAGTTTCGTAAGATGCGCACTGCTGATGATTCCCAGTTGGGATGAAACAGCTATACAGTGCTTCTCGGCTTCACTTACAGGACGAATTCTTCACCGACGATTCGCAAATCTCCTCAAATTTTCAACAGTTTACAAAAGTGTACATTTTCCTAGCTTTTTAGAATCTGGTAATCAACTAAGGCTCGGAGACTACGTCTACCTGATATGCCCGAAGGAAAACCGGTGGTGGGCTGTCGAAGTGTTTTCAGCAGAAAAGCCGAAATATATACTCTGATGCTACGAGCATCATGCCGACTAAAATATGGGGTGACCTCTGCACAGAACATTCATTTGAAGATCATAGTAGGCAAGAGATCTGCCTTAGTCACCCGTTGACATCTGTGTAACTTGAGAACGAGTGTATCTGGCCACACAACTTCTTCGTTTTACCATGAATTTCGGGAAAGTGTCTTGATGGTTGGTCCGAGCAGTTCGAAAAAGTAACAGTATGCTTGAATCCTTTGACGAATAACAAAATATCCACAAGAGTCTCAAAAAACAACCTCCGTTCAAAACTGGGTAGATTTCACTTCTGTCCATTAAGGGGTACAAACTAAGTGTTTTTCGCAAATCCTTCACCCATTGTTTTCTAATCATGATCGAAACTGTAACAAAACAGCTTGGTTGGACCTGAAATACCTCTGAGTTTTCTGGAAACTGTTGGGATTTTTTTGGCATCCGATGAGATTGTTTTTCAGATAAAACTTACTAATGTGTAAGACTGACACAATCACTCCGAGGAGTGTCGATTTGAAGCATCCTGCTTATCTGAATGATGTGTTAACTTTTCAAAAAATTGACAAGGCTTGGTTAAGTAGGAAGTAAGAAATAAACTTCATAAGGAGTTGCTCCATGTAAAAGAGTTTTCAAGAGCAGAACATAGGGAATGCATCTGTTCTGCTCATAACTTTACGGTGTTTTTTTGACAATGCAGTGTCGTTTAAATAGCTGCATTTATTAATGCACAGTTGATGATGGCCATAGTATAATTCAGAATGTATGTGTACTAAAAGAAGTTTTTAGTATACTTGATAACGGTGGGATGCCACACGTATAAAAATAAATACAATGCAAAATGAGAACAAGTGAAAAGAGGAACTTATCGTCTGTGAGAGTTCCTTGGTGAAAGTCCGGACGGCGGGAACGTGCAGCAGTGTAGCAGTATGGCTGCTACACGTGTTCCATGATTCTCCGTGGACTTGTGGAGAGTGGTTGACTTCCTGCTCCCTGCGCGCGCGCGAGTCTGTGTGTGTTGTGTTCGGTTTTCTCATATGTAGGTCTGCTTGCGTGTACGTGTGTGTGT